TTTAGCAGCGCCTCCAGCTTCTATTCACTGAATGTCAATCACAGCCCCCCACCCTGAGTCATGCAATCAAAAATGTCTCTGGACATTTCCCAGTGACCCTGGAGGGAAAAACTACCCCCAGTTGGAGAAACCACTCCAGAAGTTGGGTATGACCACTCTCAACTTACTATAAGAAGCAAAGAGAAGTATCTTTTTAAAGAGCATATTTTAATATAATAATGTAACTCATCCAGAAAAAGGACAATATCTAAAATATGAAATATCAATTATGGTCCTGGCTAACTGGGACCACACACCCAGGTGTTGTGTGTATATATGCATCTCATGCCCACTGGTCACATGCTTACCTCACGCCAGGCACGCACCCACCTCATTGAGGCTTCCCCACCATCCTGCTGAGGACTGTTAGGTACATCTCTGTGCCTCAGTTTCTCATCAGAAAATTGAGAAAATAATAGCATGTGACCCAGATGGTTGTTGCAAGGGCCGAGGGAGGTCAGGACACAAACCAGGAGGGGCCCTGCACAGAACACGCTCCGAGGCGCTTGTTATTCTCCTCATGGACACTGACATTTCCCACAAGAAAAATGCCTTCAGTGCCTTGCCCAAAACCTCACAATCATGTCTCACTCCAGAGCTTTTTCTCGGGGGACAAAGGGGCCCAGACAAGGACAGCAATTGTGCCGACTCAGGCAGTCTTTCACCCACCTGCCATGGGCATGCACACCTCACTTCTCAACAGCCAACTGGAAAGGTGAGGATGCCCTGCACACCCATTCCCGGGAAAGGAAACCTGGAGATCTAGGAGGTTTCTGTTGGTTTACAGGCTGAAAAAACAGAAGGCCTCAAAGCAGGGCCCTGAAAGGGTTGTAAAAGTTTTTAGCTGCCTGTGCCGATCATGATCGCGGGCCCTGCAGGCCAAGACCCTCCCGCCATCTGAGAATCCCCAGCCTGGTTCTCTGTGGCAGGGTAGGCAGCATCAGGAGAGACCCCTGGCCCCCTGGGACACTCACCCCAAAATACCCAAAACTATGGCTGTCAGCCTCAGGTGTCACGGAAATCCCATAGAGATCTTGAAAATATACCAATGCCTGGGTTTCACCCTTCGAAATTCTGATGGAATCTGTTTGGCTAGGGCCTGGGAACCCAGAGTGATGACTTTAACATGCAGCCCAGTTTGAGGACTGGCCTCGAGGACACAGCCGAGAAGCAGAGCTGAGGGATTTTCTCATCTGAATGACCCCCAGCAAAAGACTTGCCCCACGTTCTCAAAAGGCTGAGAGCTCACCTATGAGTCCGATTTCAAAAACAAAACCCACTGATTGCCATATGGCCACTGGTGTTTAATGTCAGATAAGGTCATTAAAAACAGAACAACTAATATTGTCGGTTCATGAAAAAGGGGCATTTTGACATTGCCTCCAAACGTATTTTTTTTTTCCAAAATAAAAGCTAGCTCTTTCAAATGAATATGTTTTTCTTTCCAAAATGCTCTTTATCTGATTTATTTTTTTTGTTTGTTGGAGACAGGAGAAAACTTCATCACAGATAGGAATTATTGTCTGAACCACCTTGATCCTCAGTGTTGCCATCTGTTAGATGGGGATAAAAAGATGCTTTGCCTTATGGAGTCCTTGAGCAGCTTATAAAGGTGATTAGCTCATCCTGGTTTGCCCAGGACTTTCCTAGTTGCAACATGAAAATCTGGCATACCAGAACACCCTCATTCCCAGAACAACCAAGACAGACACGCATCATCATGCCCCACTTTCAGTAAGTGCCTGATTTTGATGTCACCTGGGCATTTGCTAAAAATGCAAATGCAGAGCCCAACCTGACTTTTTGAGAAGATCATGGAAATCAGAAATGCCATATTCTTCAGTTGATTCTGCCAGGCGACTCTTGGGGGAGCTGACTGGAAACAGCAATGATAATAATGATGATAACCCTAGTCTGGCTAACACTGGCATGGTACTTATCGTGTGCCAGACCCTACTCAGGGCACCTTGCATATAGTAATTTATTTAATTCTCACAACAACCTCTTAGGGTCAATGCTACTACCCCTATCTGAGTCCCGGCAAGATTCAGTAAATTTCCCAGGGTCACTTATTCGCTATGTGGCTGATCAAGGACTCCTGGTCTGAGCAGTTTGTCTCCAGAGCTGGAGCTGGTATCCTGTATGCCAACTGCTCTCAACCCAGGGGGCTCGGCATTGGATTGGCATAGAGCAAGCTCTCTGTATATGTCAGATGTGATTATCATTATTGGAGGACTTGCCATTCTCTTGCCAAGGTTTCATTGCTAAACATTAAAGTGTTCCCTTTGATATTCCCAGGCATCATGAGCTAGTAGAGAAGGCTGAATGTATTCATTTCTGCTGTTACAGACATCAGCCAATGGGCGGCAGTAAGCCTTTATCTTTGTGCCATATAAACCCAGCTCTTTACATTAGAAGGAAGACCAGGAGCAATTTCGCAACACATACGTTACAACTGCCGGGGAAAAGAAATACTACCTGAATCCAGACTGTTTCTGCAAAAGATTTGTAGATGGATTTTCCATCTTTCAGTCCATTTGGCCCCAAATTTTCCAGGAGGCTACTTAAAAGGTGCAGTGATTGGGAAAATGTAACCCCCCACTCCGTGGAATGAAAATGTTTCATGTTTCTCTCCTGCCTGCACACGTCACACTTCTTACAGCACACAGATTTTTCATAACTTCAAAAATCTTTATCAGAAGTATCCCCCACATCGGATTGAATTTAAATGGAAGAAAAGGAGCATTAAAAGTTTGTAAAACCATTGGCAAATAACTTAATTTTGCAAAAGGCAGGATTTCGATGGAGACATAGTCCAGTGTGTATATATTCTTGCACGTGGCCTTGGTCAAGGCATTTAACCTATGTACCTCGGTTTTATCATCTATAACATTGGAATGATGGCACCACTGTCTCCTTGGTTCGCTGCAAGTAAATTTTGTTTAGAACAGCTTCTCATCAGGTGGTAAACACTCACCCAATTTGTTGTTATTGCAGTTTTTACTATTTTGTCATTTCTCTTGTTATATTATTATCCTCACTATTTTTATACACAGTAGGTTCAAATCCTGGTCAATTTTACTACAGGCAACATTTAATCCCTTGGCATGTAGACTATATATAAATGATAGAGTGTGGCTATCTTCCAATAAAATATTATTTATGGGTACCAATATTTGAATTTTGTATATTTTGATGTGTCATAACTTATGATTCTGCTTTTTTTCCAACCACTTATAAATGTAAAGCCCATTCTTAGCTCACCGGCTGTACTAAAACAGGCAGCCGGCTGGGTCTGTCCTGCAGCTGTTGTTTGCCCACCCTGGTCTTGAGGACTCAGTATTTTATTCAGAATGCCCCGTTTATAGATGGAAGTGATGGTCTATCATAAGTATGAATATCATGGGTTTTATAAATAGAAAATATTGCAAAATAACTAGTGTCCTTATGTTTTAGTCCTGCACAGCTTTATTGCATGGTATGTTAGAAAACATAAAATCCCCAGATTCTGTTATTTACCAAATTTCCTCCAAGAGAGCAGGTGGTAAGATCCATGACCCCTTTTTGGCCTCTGTAATTTCTGATTTCTGAGTGTGTCTATTGCTGGGCATTAAAGACTCATGCCATGGGGGACTCCTAAGGGGTGCATTGGCTGATTTCAGCCAGAAACCAAAAGCCTTGGCTTTTATTCTGAAAGTCACCAGAGCAGATGAGCCAGGGGCCAGGTTTTTGGAGATGGGATACATTACCATCCTTTGTGTGTGTGAAAAAGAAACTTTTAAGTAGCAAGGCTACAGGTTTTCGGAGTTATCAGTAGAGCCTTACTCCTGGAACCAGACCTACTCTGGGTCAAATCCTGTCAGCATTTTCTGAATCTGTGTCCTGGGTGAGTATAGATAAAGTGAAGATTCCTATGGCCAAGATTCTCACCTGGCCCTGATTGGCTGGCTTACTACACACGTGTGGGCAATACGTTGTTATTGACTATATAAAAAGCTCCGCCCAGTGCTCTGGGTGATGCGGTGGCTGCACAGCTGCACGGCTGCAGGAGAGCAGAGGCTGGAGTGGTGGCAACGCCGGGGACAGAGACTGAGATGGCTGTGGGGGTGGAGAGGCCCAGAGGCAGAGACTGGCTTGCTGCATGAAGACCTGCTCTGAGTGGACAGGATTCTAGTGACTGACCTGCCACCGTGGGAATAAAGTTGGGTATAAACCCTTTCAACCCGAGAACGTTCCAAAGTCATTTCTTTGGCCTCATTGAATGCATAGGGAGGTTGTCCGGGGCTGAAACCCATTGGCAAGATAGTGAGTTTGGGAAGCTCAGTTCCTTCCTTTCCAAAGGGAGATGGTAAACGGGCAGGACGGTCCCGTGGTTAGGAGCACAGGTGGCCTCTGCTTGGATCTTGCCTCTGTCGTCATTAACCTGCCAAACTTTGAAAAGTAAACGCCCTTGTGACTCGAAATCTAGAACGAGATGATGAGGACGTCAGTCCATTTCTCAAGGGTGCGACGGCTACAGGAGGTACAGGAAACATCCTTGGAAAACAGTACAGGGAGCTGAGAAGATGTGAAATACCTGTTGACTTGTATCGAGGCCCTTGAGAGGTTGGGTGGTGATGTGGGTACCTGCCCAGCTCGGTGCCTGCGCTGAGGGGTAGTTACCCATAGTTATCCCCTCTTTTCAACCACTATACAATCATTTAACACCTGGTAAACACAAACGCAGTGTTGAGCAATGAAATGCAGTTGAAAATTGGGGCTGTGTTGGACTTTCTGTTGAATATACGAGCCCAAAATATCCTCTCATTCCCCCAAATAAGTACAAGCAATTTGTCTAACTGGGGCTTGTGATAACACACCCATGGTAACCTGTTAGATGTGCACCTGAACTTCAGAGGCAGGAGTAAGACTTTTGTTTGTTCCAGAGCTTAATTTTTCTCTCATTTTTTTCTCTATTGCAGGAACAATGGGTAACCAAATGAGTGTTCTGCAAAGAATTGAAGATCAAGAGAATGACTCGGAGACAGACACATACAAGGTAATGTAGTTCACAGTCACCGGGTTGTTAGCAACTAGCAGGTAGAGTTGGGGTGACAGCAGAGTAAACAGCCTGTTCAGGCTCATCACACAGATAATATTGAGGATGTTCTGCTGTCCCCATGGGAACCCATTGCATTGCACTCAAACCTCCAGAATTCATCAAGGACCTTGTTAAAATGCAGACTCTAAGGCCCCACCTAAGACAAACTGCAGAGCTGAGAGCCTATGGAATCTGCATCTGTAAGAACCTCACAGGTGCAGCCTATTGGGCCAACTTGGTACCTGATCCCTGGTGGGTTTGGACCCTCTTTTCTTAGCTGTGAGTGATGTGGTCTGCCGCCACCCTCCACCTCCCCCAAGGGACACTCAGCAATGTCTGGAGACATTTTTGGTTGTCACAACTCAGGTGGTGCTACTGGTCTAGTGAGTACACGTCAGGATGTTGCTAAATGTGGTACAGTACCCAGGATGGCCCCACAACAAAGAATGATCTGGCCCGAGATGTCAGTATTGCCAAGGGTGGGAATCCCGAGTTTAGATCAGTAATTTGCAGCCCTGGCTATATTAGAATCATCTGGGAAACTGAGAATTCATGAGGCTGGAGTTGCACCCAAGACCCATTAAGTCAGAATCTGTGTGGGAGCAAGGATGAGGTGGGGAACTACTGGGTCAGGAGCCCCTCTTTTAGAAGATTGCTCTGGAGGGCTGAGGCCTGGGACACCCAAATGCCTCCGCCTAGATCTCCAGCTTGTAGCAGAAAGTCTAAAGTTGTATACACCGTGTGTGCTTCTAAAATCAGGTCAGTTTAAGACCTGGAGCCCATTTGTGGATAAAGTGAAGGTTCCTGTGGCCAGGATTCTCACCTGGCCCTGATCGGCTGGTTCACTACACACGTGTGGGCAATGCATTGTTATTGATGCTATATAAAGAGCTCCACCCAGTGCTCTGGTGACATGGTGGCACGCTGCAAGGCTGCAGGAGAGCAGAGACTGGAGTGGTGGCAGCGCCAAGGATGGAGACTGAGATGGCTGCAGGGGCAGAGGGGCCCGGAGGCAGAGACCGGCTTGCTGCATGCAGACTCGCTCTGAGTGGACAGGATTCTCGTGATTGACCTGTTGCCATGGGAATAAAGTTGGGTAATAAACCCTTGTCTTGCCAGTGGGTTTCAGCCCCCGGCTAGTTTGCTATGGATTCAGTGTGACCAGAGAAACTGACAGCAAAATGTTCTTGGGGTGAAAGGGTTATACCCAACTTTATTTCCAGGTGGCAGGTCAGTCACTAAAATCCCGTTCACTCAGCAAGTCTGCAGGCAGCAAGCTGGTCTCTGCCTCTGGGCACCTCTGTCCCCACAGCCGTCCTCCAGGCGTCTCTGCCTGCACAGCCGTCCCACACAGCCATCCTCTAGGCCTGTGTCCTCGGCTCTGCCACCACTCCAGCCTCTGCTCTGCTCTCCTGAAGCCTTGCAGCCCTGCCACCGTGTCGCACGTGAGCACTGGGTGGAGCTCTTTATACAGAGTCAACAGCCATGTATTGCCCACAGGTGTGCAGTGAGCTAGTCAACCATGGCCAGGTGAGAATCCTGGCCACAGGAACTCTCATTTTATCCACACCCTTTCACCCCAAGAACGTTCCATTGTCATTCCTCCGTCTCACTGAATCCATAGTGAACTTGCCTGGGGCTGAAACCCATTGGCAAAACACCATTAAAATGTTAATCCCTACAGAAGGAGGGTATACCAGGGAACTAATAGTGATCATATCACACAGGGAATTCCTGCTCAGAATAGAAAGCTGAATTTGAAGAAATGGGCTTCAAAACACTCAATTGCCTACATAGTGGGTGTCTGACTATGTATTAGAGCTACCTGGGAAGCTTTGAAAACTGACGCCCAGCCCCAGCTGAAACCAACAAAAACACAACTTTTAGCCGTAGGCCCAAGCAGTGGGAGCTTCTCAAGCACCCCAAATGTTTCCAAGACTGGGAGCCTCTGGCCTCTGGGGGTCAGGCAGGAGCAAAAATGAGCAAAGCAGAAAGGTGGACCCCGTGGAACTATGGCCATCAATGGCCCGTTCACAGACTGCTGGCTCTGGCTTCATATACCCACAGGATGTTGCAAGAGTCTTATTTTTCATCATGAATTAGAAAATGGTGGTAATGAAATCTGATTTTTAAATGTCCCAAAATACTTTAAAAAAAACCCTGTGCGTCAAATAAATCAAGCATGCCGCAGTATTGTCCCAGAAATACCAGTTGTGACCTCAGGGCTGAATGGAAACATGGGTTTGATGTATAAATTTTATAATTTCTTGGGAGAGTTAATGATATATTTAAGAACACAGGCTTACTTTAAAGAAAACCATTACAAAAATGTAAAGAAAGTCAGTGTTTTCTGTATCGCTCCAGGAGGTTCCCACTTTTAGGAGCTGCTATTCAGTCTTTTTTCTTTTCTTTGCAGTTAACACAGTTGGTACTCCTAATAGTATCAGCAAAATACGATATGCTATGCGAGGTACTTGGCACATAATCAGTATTCAGTTAATGTCAAATATTGCTCCTGTAATTTAGATTATTTTATTCCCTAAATGACCTCTTCGGTAGCTCTTCTTTCAGCGCGTGTGTACTTGTATGTGAGTGTGTGTGTGTGTGTGTGTATCTGTGAGCCCTGAGGTTCTTCTCTGAGTTCACAGATTCCTGGAAGACTTAACCACACGTGTTCTGTTCCAGGTGGCATCTGAGCATGAGTGTGGTCAAAACGGGATGCCGGTGATCGTATCAACCCGCACGATTCAGCTGTATGACGAAGGTCAGTGCCATGCTGGCAAGGGGGCTGCTGATCCTATGAATGGAAGGCTGGAAGCCACAGGCCCACTTTGGAAACATTTGTGTGGGTTTCCCGTATGTGTGTGCTGTAGCAGTGTTGCAAACTAGGTGGCGTGAACAACAGAAATTATTGTCTTATTGTGCAGGAGGCCAGAACCCCTTTATTTTTTTTGAACTTTTTTATTAAAACCACAGAAAAAAAAATTTGAATGCACAGACAACAAGAAAATGTGGAGATGGCCAAGTAGGGGAAAACAGATTCACACAGTGACAGTGCTGGATAGTCCGGCTAGAATCCATCCTCATGGCCACGGACAAGCCTCGGCCCCTGTTGGTACCACGTCGGCAGGGTTGGTGCCTTCTAAGAACTAAGCAGGGGAACCTGTTCCCTGCCTCCATCTGAGCTTCCTTGGCTTCTAGACGCTATTCTCCCTGTCTTTACAACCTCTTCCTTTGGTCTCTGTGTCCAAATTTCCCCTTTTTTAAGGACACAGCCATGTTGGATCTCATCTCAACCTGGCCATCTGCAAGCACCCTCTTTGCAAATGGAGTCACAGGGACGGGAGGTTAGGGCTTCCTCTTTGCTGGGGCCCAGAAGCAGGGGTCTCTATAATTCAGTGCCTGACAATGCTCATCTCTTCTGAGCATGTCTGACAGCTGGACGAGGCTGAGGACTGACAGCTGATGAGACAAAAGCAAGAGTCAAAGCACTTTGGAGCTTGGCCTTGGGAGTCAGAAGACCTAGGTTGACGTCATGCTCTCTGCCTTACGAGCTGTGGGACCTGGAACAAATCATTTGACCGCTTAAGCCTTGGCTTCTCGTCTCTAAAGTGGGGATAAGAGTACCTACAGCCCAGAATTGCTGAGAGGATTAAAGGACAGCATTCATGGAGCACTTTACATTCTATGTAGCACTTAGGAACTCCCCAGAGAATCTAGGAAAGTACACAAGACAGCGGAATTTTCCCTACACGAGGGCAGTTTTAAAATGGGACAATATATTTATCTATTTTATTTTATCCTGTGGCATAAGACCATAAATTCAGTGCATCAAAAGTGGGTTCTACTTTGTGAAGAATATTCCATTCCATTCCATTCCACGAGGAAATACGGTCTAATGATTGAGGGTAAGAACTCCAGAATCAAACTGCTGGGCTGCCACCTACCAGCTGTATGACCTTGAGCAAGTAATTTAATCTCCCTGAACCTCAGCCTCCTTGTCTACAAAGTGGGATAATCATAGTGACACGTACAGCGTAAGTGTCAGATTTAATAAAAGCACATATTTCAGTGTCTGCCACAGAGGTAGCACTCTATTAGCTGTCATCATTACGGCTCTAGTTACTGTCATTTGCACGTGAGATTCTGGGCTTCAGTTTCCTCTGCTGAATGAGGAAATGAGTCATATCATTGGTTCCAGAGGTTTTAGAATTTCCTAGTGTAAGGGAAAAACTGTTGCCCGTCTCTCTGCTCCTCACAGCACATCTAATGTCAGCTGTGTGGGTTTTCTGTGCCAAGCAATTCTGTGACGCCAGCTGGGTGTCCACAGTTCGGCTCAGTTGTAATGCTGTCTGCCTGGAGTTGTCATCAGGTCCCATGGGCTCCGGGCACAGCCTCACAGGACTGCCTCCGGCTTCAGGTGCCAACCTCCACTGGTGGGTCCTCGGGTTACCCACACCTTCTGTCCTACATGGCTACCAATTAGGTAGTCCCATGACTTCCTCCTCACATTCAATCATTTGCTGGAATGGCTCACAAAACATAGGAAAATGGTTTATTCACTAGATCACCAGTTTATGATGAAAGGATACAACTCACCAGAGTCAGCTAGAAGAGCTCCATAGGTCAAGGTTTGGGGGAGCATCCATGGCCTCTCTGCAAATCCCCCCATCCTCTACATGTTCTCCAACGCAGAAGCCTTCTGAACCCCACGCTTTAGGGATTTTTGTGGGTTCCTTTTGACATAGGCATGGCTGATTAAATCATTAGCCATTGGTGGTTAACTCAATAGCCAGCCACTCTCTCCTCCCTGGAGATGGGGGGGATAGGGGTGAAAGTTCCCTGGCAACCAGGGCCCCCTTCCTTAGAGGCTTCCAAAAGTCACCTCATTAACATAAATGCAGATGAGGTTTAAAAGGGCTGGGTTAAGACATCTTCATGGCTCTTATCAGGGATGTTTTAGGAGCCCTGTGCCAGGAACTGGAAAGAAGACCAAATAGACATTTTTCATTCTATGTCACAATAATATCATGCCTAAGGAGTTTATTACATACTTAGGTTTCAGGTCCCATCCCCTAGCCTCTGTCTGGAATAATAGCCTATGGTTGGGGCCTGGGTACCTGAACTGTTGGAAGCTCCTGAGAGGATTCTGATGCACAGCCAGGATTGGCAACCACTGGATGAGGTGATGTCCCCAGCCTCTTCCTGCCTTTAAACCATGTGGGTCAGACTTACACTTTGATGCACACAAAACCAATCATACGTACAGCAGCAGCCTTTGACGAGAACAGTGTAAAATCTGAGCATTGAGATGCACAGGCTTTGAAATGCAGATCATTTCATTTTCTGTAATTTGCAAACTGTAGGTGTGTGTTCTCAATAAATTCAGAGGCATTGAGAATCTAAAACACCCTATAGAAATGGTTTTCTTCATCATCCTTATATTTATCAGTATTCCCCTATTTTTAATAAAGGATCCAGGGACAAGGAGCCCGTAAGAAGAAAAACATAGGAAAAAAGTTTGAGAATTGAGAAAGCCACTCTCTCTCTCTCTCTATTCTCCCCTCTTTTCTCCATTTCTCTCTGTTCCTCCTCAACCTCTAACATTTGTAAGCATGTCTATGAAATGTCTTCCTGGAGGAAGGGAAGCAGGTAACAGAAATGACGAAGTCTGGAATGGTACACTGCCCGTGCATGACCAGGGAAAAGAGAATCCTATTGGGTGAGCCGTGGGTAAGGTGGCCCGCAGCCCCAGTACCCTGAAGCCTTGCTTGCAACTTACTCAGCAGCTGCTGGAGAACCTCTAGAGTTTCCCTGCATCCTTGAGAGGTCAGGATTCTGCCTGTCACTCATCAACAGCTCTAGCCCTGTGCAACTCGCGTCGGAGTGAGTGGCCCATTTAATGAGGAAGGCTGCTGCTTATCACCCCAACACTCTTTTCCCCCAGGATACTGACTAAGTTAGAATTTTCAGTGCAGTTCTTAAGGGGGCATAAAAGATTCTGGGGGGCCTTTTTCAATCTCTGGGACAGAATTCGCTGACCACGTGCTTTGATCACATCTGTATTTGTCTCTGTTGGTCTCTACACGTATGTATACACATAAAAAGAACCGTCACTGGAAAAAAAATAGATGAACGGGGTTCTGGGTGACTATTTCCCTTCTTTTTATCCCTACTTTCCCCACTTGATTTTCTAATCTAGTTGAAGCACTTCCCTGGAATGCAGGAGCAGCTCCTCAGGAGGCTAATTGAGAAGCAGTGGTGGCTCGTGGCTGAACACTCAGCCTAGGAAGCCAGCAAGCTACGTTCGAGTCACAGCTCTGCTATGTGAGCTCAGGCAAGTTTCTGAGATCGATAGATCTCATCTATAAAGTGGGAGCCGTCACAACGGTAGGACCAAGCTTCTAGGAGAGCTGTGAAGCTTAAGTGAACCGATACACCTAAACCACTTAGAGTGGTGTCGGGCGTGTGCTAAACACACGAGGAAAGTTGCTTTCTCTGTGTTGGATTTAATGTTCATCATCATCAAGTCTTTCATTGTAGTTTGAACTTAACTGTATGATCTCTGTTATCTCACACAACTTTTGCAAATGTAACATCAGTTGTTAATATGTTGCTTTTCTCCATCCCCTTATACTTTTTGAATTTTTAGTCTTCCAGATACCATGTGGGAGATGTTAATCAGGCAACAGTCTTCTTTTAAATTGATCCATGAAATTACATCTTGTTTCCTCTTAGAAGTAAACATATTTCATGCATTGTTTTTTTTTCTTTGTCAAAGCAAGAGACCCCAGGGAATTTTGATATCAAATGAACATTTGTTTGTACCGGAGTACAACTCAGGTACATTGAGGATTGTCTCAGAAGCTTGGCAGTATAATTCATCTTAAATAACAGTATCTTAGAAAATCAAAGCCTCTCATTTTTATTACCATATTCTATTTCTAACTTAGTTTGCCAATGTCAGCTGCTTTTCGAAAGTCTTGTTTTGGGGAGGGCTGCTAATGAAGGTCAAAACCACATGCAATGTGATTTCCTGCAATGCCTTCTAGGGCTGTTTATTTTCTTGCAACTTTGAGCTAGAGGCTAATGTGTCTGGTCAGCCAAAACATAATTATTTAAACTCATATCTTCTACTTCTCTCTTTGTTTTCCCGGTAGATGCTTGATTTTAATTCCAAAATAGCTAAGGAAACATTTCTAATAGAGCAAAATGTCCATCTGCAGAACGCTTGAATCAGTTAGGGCATATCTACACGAAGGTATGCTCCACAGTGTAAATAAGAATGAAGTACTGCCGGAGGAAGCTATTACGCTAGGAAAAGGAAGCCAGACACAGAATTCAATATACTACATGATTCTGCCTAAATGAAATTGGAGAAAAGGCAAAACCACCGTGACAGAAAGTTGACAAATGTGATTGTATGTAAATCATACCTCCACCAGATAAATCCGATTTTAAAACACTAGCAAGGCACAACGAGGTCTTAAGAAATCAACATTGTCAAAAGCAAGTCATATCAAGTGAAGACAGAAAAAGTTAAACTCAATAAGGATCTTTTCTATAAAACAAAAAAGGATCATTTGATGGTGTAGTGGGGTGTGTTCTGCTCACCGCATTCCATTGTTTTGCCTGAACTTGACGAGGGAGGAGAGTGGAGAGAGAGGAAGGTATTTGTGAAGGGCAGCATCTCTTAGCTGGTTTATCACGCTGTCCCACGGCTCCTGTGCACAGCCCAGGCGAGGGGACCTCAGGAGGCGCTCA